TACTTTCACTATTAAACATAGCCCTGAGTGCTACTGTTGTTCTTCTTAGATTTGATTTCACCAAATGTTTAAGTGATCGCCAATCACAATAATTCAGGATTGTTTTCCGACACATTTCTTCCTCGAAGATGAATCCTTCCAGTTTTTAATAATGCGTTGGACAGTTCTTAACCCAATTTTAGTAGTTTCTTCAGTCTCCTCAGATGTTTTCTTTGCTTGATGCCAGTGATTTGACCTTTCTCAAACAGACTGACATCTTTTCCACGACCACGCGATGTGTCTTTCAACATGGTTGTTTAAGAAATGAGAAGCAACTCATTGCACCAGTTGGGGTTAAATAACTTGTTGCCAGCTGAAAGATAATTGCCCATGCAGTAATTATCCAATAGGAGGCTCGTACCTATTTGCTTAGTTAAATCCAGGTTGCAACTTTTTGTGGGGCCAGGCAGTGTAGTTGCTGCTGCGTGGGTTTTACTTTTTTGTTTGTTTTTTGTTTTTATAAGATCAAGTTTTTACCAGGTTCTATAATTGGTCATATCCAATCTCAAGTGTAGAGAAACAATAAATTATATCATGTTGAATAACAACAAAGCTAAAATTGCTGCAACAAATCACGAGCATTGAATGCATTATGAATCAACAACTCATCAAATCTCCTTTACCAATAATAACTCAGTAGTTGCTTTATTTATTTACCTACCTGCATTTATTTAAACGTAGCAAATCCCACAGATGCCACCAAAATCTCTTTTGCAAGAAAGGCCAAAACTGTTGTAAACTATTTTGATCCACTCCTATTTACAACGTTGCGTCAGGTCATTGAGGTTTGCAGCTGTTTGCGTCTGCACTGCTCTCCTGCAGCATTTTGGTCAGGTTGAGGTCTAGACTTTGTCTGAACCCAGAGTTCTTTTCTTTTCCAGATGTTGTTTTGTGCTGCAGTGTTTATCATTTTGACAGTTCATGATTGAGTTTGGGCCTAGCTCTAGCTTTGTACAGATCGCTTCACAGCCCTCAGATTCTTTGGTCTACGGTAGAGTTCAGGGTCAAATCAAAGACTGCAAATGTCCAGGTCCCAGGCTGCAAAACAAGCCCATATCACCATCTCTCTATTGTGTTGACCGTTTGTATGAGGTATTTGGAGTAAAACAAACTCAGCATCTCAACATAAACATGACATTGCGCATTATGACCACAAATCTTATTCCCATTTATCCAAAATTCTGTGTTCCAGAAGTGTTGTGTTTATTCAGATGAAACTTTGCAAACTTGCGTTGTACTGCCATGATCCTTTTTATGAGAAGATGCTTTAATTTTGCAACACCCTCAAACAAACCATATTTGGTCACTCTTTACTTAATTCTCCTTTTGGGAATTTTGATATTTAAACCTGCTGACACCTGAGATGGAGCTTTGTGTTCTTTATTTCTCTGTGCATTACTCGGTCTGATCTTTGGATAATTTTTCAAGGATGTCTACTTCTGGGGACATAACACTTAACTCGTCAATCCTGTCAGGATTCAGTTGATTCTTCTAATTGAAGTTGGTCGAAGACCTATCTACAGCAAATAAAATACTTTAAAAAAAACAGCATTTTCATAATATCCAAACCACAGTATTTCTTTAATGATTGTTTTCTTTGTTTAATATAGATGGCTTTCGTCACTCCTCTCAACATTTTCAATGATAAACGGAGGAGGTGGCCTCAGAATATCAACACAGCATTCACATCATTAAACCTGTAACTGAGACACTTCCCATTCTTGTCTTAGTGAAAGGACTTATGGGATAGACGAGTGTGTCAGGGGCTCATGTGACTAATAAATTTTATGTGAAATCATACCAACAGTGGTTTCTAAAAGTTTTGACATACAATTTCATACACGAGAAAGTATGGATTTCCTTTAAGCCTGAAAATCCAGAATCACTGTCAGAACTAAGGGAGCCTTTCAGAGGTTAATGAGAACCTGCACCAACGTAAAGAATGCAGTCTCGTCTCATTTGTCAAAATGCTGAATATGTATAATTGTATAGCTCTAATAGAATATTGAGTTTTAATTTGGGGATTCAAAACTTCCATTGCAATGCACTGAATAGGTCAGTTTGGCTCAAGGACCACCAGCTCAACAGGTCAGCTATGGCTTCAAATGAACTGTCCTTTAGGTTTTCTTCTGTCTACTGAGACAGTGATTTACACTAGTTTTTGCTACTAATCTGGAAGCACACGGGTAAACTCTTTTAATACAAATTTTTAAACTATGGAAAACCCTAAATAGACCCCTGAAGATACAGGGAGAATGTGCAAACTTGATGTAGAAAAACTTCCACAGCCGTGACAACTACTCAACATTGTGATTTTGGGTAGTGCAACTAATTCTTGAGGCTATCATCAGTGGACCATGTCTCTCAACTTTTAAGTGTGTGCTTAATTGCATTTGGGCCCAAAAACTCCAACCCGACCCGGCCCCAGCCTGTAGCCATCATTTACAAACCCCATCCGACCTGACAAATTAACAGTAATTACAGGTTCGAACCCAAAAATCCCCCAACATTTTAGTTAAGCTTTGACTGCTTATATAGTTATTAACGTCAGCAGACATGTGCAGCTGAATAAAAGGAGCAGAAGATCGGAGCTGAAGGGGAATTTTGTCCTTTCATGGCCATCAAAGTGCATTAAATCCCTGCTTCTGCATTATTCAGACATGGACCCTGCTTTGACATGTCTGCTTTGGGATCTCACCTGTTTGGGTCATCGGCCGTGCGCATCCGCTGAGTGCAGCGGCTGAACGTCCATTTGGGCTTTGAATGTATCGCTGCCTGACATTACTGACAGTACTATTACTGTTTTTCTTTTACATTTTATTGTTGGATGTTACTGGGACCCTGTGTACATAATTTCGCTCCACCACATGTACCACATGAGGTGCGAATGACAATAAAGAAACTCTGACTCAGACTCTGGTAGTCCCATTTACAGCTTAACTGAACTTTTTTTTTTTTTTTTTAACCTCTTTCAAGGCCAGTCAGCACGTGGTTAAATGGCCGTGTGCAAGCCATGTTGCCATATAATTGGATTGTCAGCCGCGCACATCTACTGACGCAATCAAAAGCCCGACACTGACCCGGCCCCACCCATCCAGCACATTATTATGGCCCAGCCCAAATTCAGGTTAGGACGGGCCGGGCTTCGGGCCTGGGTTAGAAATGGCAGCTCTAGTTTACAGTCCCTGAGAATAAATGGAAATTACAGATTAACCTGAACTGAGATCATGTAGAAAGGAGAATAGAAGAAAAGTTTTCACATGTTATGAGATTTGTAGCATCCCGTGCACTCATATGAACTTTAACATCTCCACCATAAAGCTCTTGGTTGCCTTTTTTAACTTTTAAATAAAAGTGCTTTTTTTAAAAAGGCAAATGGTTTGCATGTGTCCTGACACAGCACCCCCACCCCCTCCAAAGTCTGATAACCACCGTCTAACTAATTATTGCTCTTTTTCTTCCAAATCAATGCTAAAACAGACTGGATTTAGAATTGAAAAACACGTCAGCTACGTAAGTATCAAACCATTTTAGCTAACCGTGTTAGTTATTGTAAAAACTGTTAAAATGTGAACAAAAATTTTGCTCCTATTAAAAATAGAAGAATCTGACAACAGAGAAAAGGAAGAGAGAAACTTTTTTAAAATCAAATTTAATAAATTCAGTTGACCTTCATCCATTCATAGTGTCTGATATATTTTCATGTAGCAAACACTAACTCCCACAGAGAATTTTGATTAAAGTAGATGCCATTTACTGCATTCTGGTGTATTTTACAAAAGTTTCGTACAGTAGATTAACATGAAACAAAAGGCGTAAACTCTGTTATTATTGAAATCGCTGACTGCAAAGTGTTCGTAATGCAGCACCGCTGCAGCTCTGCAGGTAAGGGGCGTTCACTTCAGGACAAATCGAGGTTGCTGATTGGTCAGTTGCTGACGTGCCTACTGGACTGATTGACAGGTGGCGGGACTTGTGCAAAAAAATTGGTCTGTTTGTGACTGTCGGCATTTATTCCATATTTATTTAATATTTTGATGAATCTAAGATTTGAGAACTGTTTCCTTACACAATCCTAATGATTTCTTTATTTTTCAGGGGTGCTGAGTTTAAATTTAAAGATACTCAAATCACCACTGAAACCAGTTCATATTTACAATTTACTTTTAAACACTTTGTGATTTATATGTGTTTTCTGTCAAAGGAAAATGTTATTCAGTGGCAAGAAACTGCAGAGGGATGGTAGAAAGTGTCAAAATGAAATATAAAAATATAAATTAAAATTATTTTATAAATACATAAATTATCTACTCTACTGTGTAATCTATGTAGTTAAATTATGGTCGTTAGACCGACTAACAATAAAATTAATGGGTGGAATCAATGAGTGTAAACACATAGATTCTTCAAAGGAAATTTTAATATAGTAATGAGGACAGCTTGGTGGGCCAACTTTGGCCCGCGGGCCCCACTTTGGGCACCCCTGACTTAGATGGAAATAATATTTTACAAATGCTCCAGAGAACTTGCTCTGAAACAGCATTTTTTTCATTTATTTATGCAGGTTAGTCTCATTGAGTCATGACTCATTTTCAGGAGACCTGTTTCAGACAAACCACAGATAAGGTACACACAACAATAAACAGCCACAAAATGCATATAAAATAAAAAGCAGTGTTATAAAACAAAATAAAATTAGCATGCCGCATAATTGCAGAACAAAGTGCAAATTTTGTTGTGTTGTAGTAAACAGAAATATACCGTTTATGGCTACATTGTAGTTTCTTTTATTTCAGTCATAATTATACGTAATTAAACCATATTACTAGGACTTTCTTTTTATGACCTTTCATCTACCTTCTACTCCCACACAGTGATTGTCATATTTTGCATTATTTTATCTTCAGCACAGACAAAGATGCACTGCAGTATCTCATTGCTTTTTATCTCTTCTCACACAGGGTGGATAAGGGGACTTCAGCTGTCTGAGAAGATGCTCGTTTTCTCCCTAAATTTGGCTGTCCTCCTTACTGCAGCATGTCTGAACACGGAAGCTCGCAGCATGATGCGTATGACACGTGGTTGTTACAAAACGCCTAGAAGTGAATCATAGATGAAGATGCTGTACTGCAAGAATCAGATGATTGCGTGCTCACTGGGATGAGTTTGACTCTGAAGGCGCTCCATGAACAGCACAGCAATGCTGTATTTGAATTGTTGAGACGGTCACTGTGCTGCGCTGAACTCTTTTACAGTAACTGACACATCACGTAATCGTCATCTTTTTTATTTTATTTTTTGTCTTCGGAATAGATGCTTACCTTTGTGTATTTAACGTTTCCAGTTGTTCCTTGTAATGTTAATGCATTGATATTTATCAATATTTTTAGTGTATTTTCTTCAGCAGAGAGTAAAAATTATGACTTAAAACACTCAAACTAAAGATATTAACATCCCATCTTCTTCCAAAAAGCCTTCATTCTCCTTGGACAACAGTGATATTGTGCTGTAGTAAAACTGTTAAAGACTTTGTTAGTATGTTTATTTTTTTATGGTGTCCATGTAATTCAACACTTCAATCTCTCATAAAAGCTGGGAATACTACAAATTATAATGAAAATATTCTAACATTGTGTGAATTGGCAAAAACGCACCTGTTGTTAGCGGGAGTAAGAAATGTCAGAGAAATCCCTTAAACTGAGTATGCCCATATTTCCACCAATGTTTCAAAATTATTGCATGCTTTTAGTCATTGCATTTCAAAATACACAGTTACTCTCAACAAACAGAGGAATGCAGCTTTGATCATTTGTGTCATGGTTATGTACAAACCGGATTCCAAAAAAAGTTGGGACACTAAACAAAGTGTGAATAAAAACTGAATGCAATGATGTGGAGATGGCAAATGTCAATATTTTATTAGTAATATAACATAGATGACAGATCAAAAGTTTAACCTGAGTAAATGTAACATTTTAAAGGAAAAATATGTTGATTCAAAATTTCACAGTGTCAACAAATCCCAAAAAAGTTGGGACAAGTAGCAATAAGTGGCTGGAAAAAGGAAATTGAGCATGTAACGAACAGCTGGAAGACCAATTAACACTAATTAGGTCAATTGACAACATGATTGGGTATAAAAAGAGCTTCTCAGAGTGTCAGTGTCTCTCAGAAGCCAAGATGGTAAGAGGATCACCAATTCCACCATTGTTGCGCAGAAAGATAGTGCAGCAATACCAGAATGGTGTTATCCAGCATAAAATAGCAAAGACTTTTAAGTTATCATCATCAACCGTGCATAACATCATCAAAAGATTTAGAGAATCTGGAAGAATCGCTGTGCGTAAGGGTCAAGGCCGTAAAACTCTACTGGATGCTCGTGATCTCCGGGCCCTTAAATGTCACTGCACCTCAAACAGGAATGCCACTGTCAAGGAAATAACAGAATGGGCTCAGGAATACTTCCAGAAAGCATTGTCAGTGAACACAATCCACTGTGCCATCCGCCGTTGCCAGCTGAAACTCTACAGTGCAAAGAGGAAGCCATTTCTAAGCAAGCTCCACAAGCTCAGACGTTTGCACTGGGCCAGGGGTCATTTAAAATAGAGTGTGGCAAAATGGAAGACTGTTCTGTGGTCAGATGAGTCATGATTTGAAGTTCTTTATGGAACACTGGATGCCATGTCATCCGGACAAGAGAGGACAAGGATAGTCCAAGTTGTTATCAACGCTCCGTTCAGAAGCCTGCATCACTGATGGTATGGGGTTGCATGAGCGCTTGTGGCATGGGCAGCTTGCATGTCTGGAAAGGCACCATTAATGCAGAGAACTATGTTCAGGTTCTAGAACAACATATGCTCCCATTTAGACGTCATCTCTTTCAGGGAAGACTCTGCATTTTTCAACACGATAATGCCAGACCACATTCTGCAGCAATCACAACATCATGGCTACGTAGGAGAAGGATCCGGGTACTGAAATGGCCAGCCTGCAGTCCAGATCTTTCACCTATAGAGAACATTTGGCGCATCATAAAGAGGAAGGTGCGACAAAGAAGGCCCAAGACGATTGAACAGTTAGAGGCCTGTATTAGACATGAATGGGAGAGCATTCCTATTTCTAAACTTGAGAAACTGGTCTCCTCTGTCCCCAGTCGTCTGTTGAGTGTTGTAAGAAGAAGGGGGGATGTCACACAGTGCTAAAAATGGACTTGTCCCAACTTTTTGGGGATTTGTTGACGCCATGAAATTTGGAAACAACAGATTTTTCCCTTAAAATGATACATTCTCTCAGTTTAAACTTTTGATCTGTGATTTGTGTTCTATTCTGAATAAAATATTAGATGTTGGCACCTCCACATCATTGCATTCAATTTTTATTCACAATTTGTTTAGTGTCCCAAATTTTTTGGAATCCGGTTTGTATGTATGGAAGTGAGATGATTGTTAGGGTGACATTTTCTTCATCAATAGTGATAGAGGGTGCCCACCCTGGAGGTTGAGCCATGATTTTTTATTTTTGCACACGTTTGTATGTGACTGGCACTATATTAATTTGTTGTAAAGTACATCAAATTGTTCATTTCATTAAATATCTTTTTCTTTCGCTCTGCTTTTTTCTCTTCTCTGTATGCATTAGTTACACTTCAGCACAAAGGGATTAACCCATATATTAGAATCTTGGAATTAGATTAGAATTGTTAGGCTGATGGTCCTCTTTTTACTTGTGAACAGCTATGTCTAACAGGTTGATCTGCCATGTGAAGGTGATGTTTATAAGACTGAGTTTGCTGCAGCACCTCAGACTGGAGTTGTTGTTTTTTTTTTTTTTTTTTTTTTTTT